GAAACTTTGAATATAAGTCATTAAATACATAATACATATGCTGTTAAAATTTGAAGACGATTTACCACACCAAACTTGAGATAATTGCAATTGAAAATGACATTTTTGTACATGTAACAATTGTAACATAGGAGAAGCGTGGGAAAATGACAGTATTTTTAATTTTTTCCATCGAAGGAATTTCAAGACTTTATCAAAAAACTATAGTAGATTGAAAAATATGATATTTCGAACAATTAAAAAAAAAAAAATGAAAATTTTTTACCATGTAGTTTTCGAGATTAATTAAAATCAATTTCACTTTTAGAAGATTATTTTTAGGAGAGGGGGTACAAAAAACAGCCGCTAGTCACTGAAACCGTAGTGTGTGTGTGTATATGTATAGAGAATATAGTAGTCGACGAGTACAGTAACGTTACAAAATCTTAACCTACAACCTTAGCTCTGTCGATACGTATAACATGGATAGCGAGTCAAAATTTTTGATCTGGATTGTCGCGGAGGTACTACCTTAATTAATTCCGTATTATTAAAATACTCAACAATAAACTGACAGCAGTCATAAGGCAAAGCACCAAAAAACAAACAAGCAAGGACTTCTGTAGCCTGCTTCCTCATCCTTCTCGTCTTATTAGCCCAAATAAGCCTTTTAATGAGCATTAACCCCAAAGGATGTTCAAACTTCATCTTAAACTGACTTCCGACTCCATCCAAGCGGATGACACTCGGCTTTGCAATCAGGGTAACAATTTCTTCCTTTCCACAAGTCAGCAAGTGATAAAAAGAGATGTTAGTATCCCTGACCTTGACATCCTTCAAGACATCGACGAATGTTTCAGACAGGCGCTGATATATCACCAGTTCATTAACATAGAGATCCCGAAAGTCTTGATTATCAATCGGTTGGTTCGGAGTTTTATAAACCGGCAGTCCGAGCACTTGTCTGCTTATTGACCAGTGCTCAATCAAGAACATGATAAACGCGTATGCCTGCTTGAGTTCGCGAAGATAACTCTGAGACAGGTATATCGTGTTCGCATTTTGGATCATCAATTCTCCTTGAATAACAGTCTCCAAATCCACGTGAATCCAGTCCAAGTCGCAGCAATCCAGCAGATACTTGACTCCAGCACTGAACCCGTAGAGTATCATGTAATGGAGGACAGTGGACCGGGGAATGCATTCCGGGAACTTAGCGTTAACATCAGCGCCAGCTTCAACCAAACATTTCACAATTTTCATCTTTTTTTTCTTCAGCTCGTCTTTATTCTCCTCTCCACTGAAGATAAATTTCTTTTTGATGGCATTGTGGACCACAAAATGGAGAACAGGTTGTCCAAAAGAGTCGCGGTCGTTCACATCAGCACCCCTTTTCAGCAAATGCTTGACCAAATCTGCATTATTGACTTCCACAGCCTGCATTAAAGTAGTTTTATCCAACCTGGTCTTTAATTTGATGTCAGCGCCTCTGTTTATTATTATTTCTGTCATTTCTTTCTGTTTCAGAAGAATTGAACAGTGCAACAGAGGTAAATCGTGGTCTTTCCACCAATCACTGAGCATTTGGTGGTGGAACAATTCAAAAAACCCGCCACTGAATCTCACATTGACGTCACATCCGTAAGAGAGCAGCAAACCCGCCATCTCTTGGTGGTTCTTGAACACTGCGATGTGAATCGGGTCACAAATGGCACCTGTTTTTGGGGAAACACTTGCTCCGCACTCGAGAAGAACTTCCGCGCATTGGTACTGGTTTTTTAGGGCTGCTAAGTGAAGAGCAGTAAATCCCCGGCCGATAGGTCCGTTGAAGAAAGAATCTGGTGGTGTGCCAGTTTTTATTATCCCTTCGACGATTGAGTAGAAGCCATGCCACACGGCCACGTGGAGTCGCGGCCATTTTTCTTCGCCCTCTTCTAGGTAAGAGTTGGAATTTTTGAAAATTGGATACATTTTTGCTAAAATTAAAAATTGCAATATTATAATACCATTTTTTTTTTAATATTAAAGAATTAAATTAAAAAATTATAAAGTATGGATAAAATTACTTACTTATTGTAGATTTAAATTAATCTGCAGTTCTCGTTTTAAAATGACTGTCTGATGGCAAGTCTCGGTGAAGAATAAATGACGAAAAGGAATTACTATTTATATTTTATACCTGAGAGTCTCTTTGCAGTAATTTTGGGTTTCCTTCCTATTCTATCTCTTTAGTAATTTGCCATTAACTTTGTAAGTTTAAGATTTTAAAAATAAATTACTGTCTAATTGCTATAACCTCTCGGTGAAGTAGATAGGAATGAAGAAAATAAGGAATTACTACTTACAATTATACCTGAGAGGGTCTTCACAGTAATTTTGGGTCTTTTGTTATTGTCCCTACTCTATCTTTATAGTAATTTGCAATATTAGCTAATTGTATATTTTACTAGGGGGTGTTCGAATATTCGAGATTACGAATTATTCAACTCGAATAATTCAAATCTAATTTTAATTGGGCACAGTTTTCCCCCAGATTTGTGAAGTGGGCCCATTTAAATTTTAAGTGAGCTCTTCTGCCGATCAACTTCTTCAATTGTGTCCTTGCCAGCCTTGTGGTAACGTTGTCTTGAGGTTTTTCTAAGTTTTATTAAAAACCCATTTTAAAATTAAAGTAAATTGTTTGTAAAGTGAATTTAAGTTACGTAAATTATACGAATAATTTAATTTTAACAAACCAACGAAAAATATTAACAAACCAGGTACAGTTTTAATTATTATAATTGTTTCAACTACTTTAAAGTGTATACTATCTTCAATAAAATTAAAGTCAGGAATTCTCCATCGAATATAACGTATTAACAGCTACTTTTTTGAAACTAATTCTTAATCCGTATTAATAAAAAATATAATATTGATAAAAATAGATACACAATAATATAATTTTTTTTCTTTTTGTTTTTTTTTTTTTTTTTTTTTTTTTTTTTCAGATAAATCTATCTACCGTCATAGTAAATAATTACAGATACGTGAGAATATCAAATCTGTTATGACGATTGTAAAAAGTCTGGTTCTAGCTATAAACAATTATGATTCAGATAAATTCGAAGAAATATTAAAAGGTGGATTTGATGTGAATCAAATATTACCAGGATCCGTCGGAGGATACACATTATTGCATTGGGCGTGTATAAATGATAACGCAGCTGCTGTTGATATACTGATTAAAAAATACCAGGCAGACATTAACTTCCTAACGAAATATGGAGCTCAACCAATCCATTTGGCGATTATTAAATCTAAAAGTTATGAATCGACTCGTCTTTTACTTGAAGCTGGGGCTGATCCCAATGCTATATTTACACGTGAAATTTTGTTAAATTTCTATAAAGATTATCACTGGCCGGATGAATTTGGTGATAAAATATCACTTGTGTCATATGCTGTCGCTCAGAACTTGACAAACTTTGCTGAATTACTTACTGATTATGGCGCCGACATTACTGTGAGAACCAAAGATAATAGAACTTTGTTGATGGTAGCTTTAAAAGAACAATATTACTGTGTAGCATCGGTCATTGTCGATAAAATTGTAAAAAAGTGTCCAGAATTAATCAATGCTCGTGATAATCAAGGCAAAAATGTATTGGACCATCTATTTCATGATGAACTTTATAAAAAATATCGTTTTAATGGCGAGCAGTTTATCTCTATAAATATTCTAGATGAAATTGTTTCTACAATATTTCTTTGTTATGAAGAGAATGATTATGATGAAAGGATTATCAACGACTTGTATACGCAACTGTGTAATTCTGCTGCTCATAGAAGTCTTTCTCAGTTAGTTCTGGGTTTTTTATTTAATAATCTCTCACGTACTGGATCCAAAGCATTGTCTAATGCCTTGCTGCCAATTCAAGATCCTGATAATTTGTTTTCTTTTGATGATTCTTATGCACCAGACTGGAGAAATGATGTCAAATTAATGATCGAAGAAGGAAGAGTAAAGACCGTTGATTACATATTGTGGGATTTGAGGATAAGACGTGAATTTGGATTGTTTGTACCTAAAGAAGAAATACTTAAAATGGATGAATTAATTTCATCGTCTTCTGAGTATAGACAAAAGATTCAAGACTTTGAACGTAAATTTATCAATGGGTTGTTGAAAGAAACTGTTTTTCGTTATGGAAAAAAAAGAGAAACTTTGTATAATCTGGCTGCGAAGATTTTTAATGAAAGAACTGTTAAACCGTTCGCGAAAAGTAGGAAACTTTATAGGTGTTTAATTAAGTATCAACCAAGAAATGAAACTTTAGAATTTATAGTTGATCAGATGATAACTCGACTTAAATCAGTTAGAAAGAGAATTCAATTGTTAGAAAAATCTGAAAAACTTAGCAAGTTGAATTGCATAATTCCTCTTCCCTATGAAATTATATTAGATGTTTATGAATTTTTGAGCAATCGTGAATTGAAACATTTTATTGATTGTGTTGAAAATATCTAATTATTTTTATATTATTGGCAATTTGTTCATACTTACTTAACCTTATAGTGTTACGTATATATTTTTCCACTATATCTATAAGTCATTTTGTTATATTCTATAATTTTATAAGTTTATGTATTATGTAATCTATTAACCCTGTTAATGGTGTAAATCATTGGGTTTGTTTCAATAAAATGAAATAAAATAAATTTTGTTATTCTAAATTCTTATTTTTGTGTTATTCCAAACTGAAAATAAATAAGGAATCCTTACTTTTATTTGTAAAATAATTTTACAAATAAATATAATAAGAATTACAATTTTGTTTAAAAATTTTTTTATACATTCATTTCTTCTTAAAAATTGTAATGTAAGAAGATAAATTAACTATTTTAAGTAAATATAGATTAAAAAAATAATAAATATATAAAAATTTTATTAATAATAAACAATTTTTTAATAGATAATTTTTTGAGGAAGAAATAAAAAATTTATTTACAAGTAAGACTACAATTTTTTTAAATTTATGAAATTAATTAAATTTGTAAACTCCTTGTTCAAACATTCTCTGCCATTCTTTGCCGTGAGGGTACTCGTAGTCCAAAATCGCTTGATCCTTGAACTGAGTTGAATACCCAGGAGATTTAGGCGGCATGTAATGCGCGTTTTTTACTATCGAGGGTGTTACAAAGTGCTCGTGTTGCTGGTCGACGTATTCAATAACGCGATTTTCGGTAGTACCGCTTAAAGATACGTAGTCCCACATCTGAAGATGCTGGACCATTTCGCAGAGTCCTACTCCTCCTGCATGCGGACATACTGGAACTAATTTTTTATTTTTATTAATTATAGAAAATATATCAAATAAATATAACAATTGGTTAAAAGTGTAATTAAATATCAAAAAGTTACAAAATTTTTTAATCATAAACAAAAAAAAAATTTCTTAAATTTTCATTATAAAATTTTTTAATTCAATTAATTGAATATATTAGAAAAAATAAAATTTTTTTAAATAAAAATAATTGCTAAATATGTTTTTTTAATTAGTGAAATTAAAAATCAAGAAGTTGAAAAATTTTAATCATAAAAAAAAATTGAAGAAATTCAATCTTTAATTTCTACATTTTTTCATAAACATAAATAAAAATAAAAAAATTGAAATTTTTTTTTTTTTACAAATATTTAATTTAACATCTCAAAAATATGTCTGTAAATTTTTAGACTAAAATTCTCATTATTTATCAATTAGAAACTCATTTAAGTGTTCCGCCCTAACTAAAAAGTAATAAAAACTAATAAAAAACTGAACCTTTAAATTTCCAAGCCATCAAATAAACAGCAAGAATTTCATTGACTCCGCCAATCCTCGCGGAGTCAATTTGACAAAAATCAACCGCCCCTGATTGAAGAAACTGCTTGAACATCACTCGATTCGCGCAAGCTTCCCCAGTCGCGACTCCAATTCCCAGAGGTCTTAGCTTCTCCTTAATCTCTCTGTGCCCCAGAATATCATCAGGGGAAGTTGGCTCCTCAATCCAGTGAATGTTAAACTTCTGCAGGTGGTTCATCCACTCGACGGCTTCTTGAACCCCCCAGATCTGGTTCGCGTCGACCATAAGTTTGTTATCAGGCCCGATTTCTTCGCGAATGAGTCCGCATCTTCGGACATCGTCCTCTAGATCACGGCCTACTTTAGCTTTGAAGCTGGTGTAGCCGTCCTTGAGGTATTTTTTACACAAGGAACGCACTTTCTCGTCGGAGTATCCCAGCCAGCCCACTTGGGTTGTGTAAGCGGGGAGTCCGCGGCTTAGGAGCTTTTCTTCACGGTCTTTTCTGCCATTTTGTCGGCTTTTTAGGATTGCGATCGCTTCTTCTGGAGTAATTACATCTGTACTAAAATTAAATTACTATTTTTTTGTAATCTATATATTTAAAAGAATAAATAAAAATTTTTGATCTAAAGAAAATATTTTAAAGAAATTTTTTATTTTAAATTAAGACGGATAATTTTTGAAGTTAATTTTATTTAAATTAAAAAAATTATTTTTAAAATAATTACTTACATATATCGAAAATCAATTGTTGATACTAATTGCTCAGGAGTTAAATTTGTTAATAATTTCCAGAGAGGTACTTTTTCAATTCGCGACCATAAGTCCCAAAGAGCGTTTATTACTGATGCTGTTGCAAGGTGTATTACACCTTTTTCAGGCCCTAACTAAATTAATTCAATGATAAATTAATTAATTAAGGCAATTTATGTATAATTTTATGTAAATATTTATAAATTGAGTTGAATTAATTAAAATTAAGAATTTTATTCTAAAAAATCTGTATTAACATAATTTTTTTTTTTTTTTGGGTTAAAAGTTATTAAATAAAAAAAAAGTTACCCAACGTAATTGTGATTCACTGGTTAGATATCTCCAAAATTTACCAAAATTACTAAAAATTTCATTGCAATCTTTATATATTACCATTTTTAAAATAGCTTCGCATGCTGATACAACTAAAAAAATTTTTTTTTTTCATTTTAATTAATTAAACTTATTATTATTATTATTAATTAAACTAATTAAAAATTTATATTTCAAAGAATTAATATTTATAATTTTTTATTGACTAAAATATTTTTGTTTTTATTAATAAAAAATTTAATTTTTAAAAATCAAAAAATTTTAATTAATTAAAATATTACCAATTTGAGTTCCTCTACCCAAAGTAAATGTCAACCCATATCCTTCAGTTCCATTTTCTAATTTAATTATTACATAAGCGCAAGAATAATCTGGATCTGGGTGCTGAGATAAATTATTGAATTATTTTTTAATAAAATAATTAATTTTTTAATTTTTAATTAATTCAAGCTTACCATAGCATCACTTCCATCAGCTTGCAAGGATGTAGGGAATCTTATATCCTTAACAGAAACTTCAATAATAGAAGTCATAATTATAGAATTAAATTATAATTGTTATAATTCAGGTTGTATTTTGCAAACACTTCTTGCTTATCTGCGTACTTATATAAAAGTTGAATACAACGTCTGTTGACGCAAGAGTGATAACTGAAGTTATCTCATCGTATACATATAAATGTAATTTATATATTTATTTACGGTTAAAAAAATTTATAATATTGTCTTTTAATTTTTAAATAAATAATTGGATTTTAAAAATTATTCAAAGAATTTTTTTTTAATTTTCATCTTCTTACTTTATAATTATTCTAATTGAAATGTTATTAAATAATTTAACAATTAAAATAAAACTAAGTTCAATCATAATATTTATTTTTTAAAGTTTAAAATCGACAAAACTATTACAAACAAAATTTTATTTAATAATTATAATAATAATAACAATAATATATATTGTTGAATAAATAGTATTAGTTACATAGTATAATTCAGCAAAATGCCAAATGCTTTAAAATTCACACTCAAAATTATTGAATCAAAGCAAATCACTCAATATTTAATAAAAACTTCCAAATTAAAGCAACATGATCAGTTTTTATGAAATCTAATTGACAAATCACGCTCAAAGCATCTCTCACAATTTTTTACTAATTTAATTAATTATTTGTTTATAAATATAATTTTTTAAAAATTAATGATCATTAAATGCGTTTGATTTTCTAGGCTTGAGTTTATTGGTCGATGAATTCCAGGGTCCGCTTGAGGATTTTTTTCTCGGAGATCCTTAGCTGGAGAATCATCTTCTTCGTCGGCGACATTGTTGTACTTAATAAATTTAAATCTTCCTGCAATTAAAAAAAAAAAAAAAAAAAAATAATAGAATTAGACTTTCAAAAAAGCTACTGTACTTTCTAAACTATTGACATTTTTAAAAATATAAGCTCATCCTGATGTTATACTCATTAAGAGCTTTCATTTGAGTACCCACATGCATTTTTGATATATTTTTCATATATACATATATATATAATATATAAATATATAAAATATATGAAAAATTGATGTGGGTACTCAAATGAAAGGTCTCGATGAGTACAACATCGGGATGAGCTTATATCTTAAAAACTGTCAATAGTTCAGAAGATATTTGTTAAATTGAACTGTACTTTTTTAAGTATTGACATTTTTAAAGATATAAGCTCATTCCGATGTTACACTCATCAAAAGCTTTCATTTGAGTACCCACATGCATTTTTGATATATTTTTCATATATACATATATATAATATATATAAATATATAAAATATATGAAAAATTGATGTGGGTACTCAAATGAAAGCACTTGATGAGTGTAACATCGAAATGAGCTTATATTGTTAAAAACATCATTAGTTAACGAAATACAGCAGTTATTTTTTATTTGTGAAATATCTAATTACCTCTAAAGTAGTCGGGTAATTAGCGATCAGCAGCCTAAGCCTCATAAGTAAAAATTTCTTAACATTGTCTTCAACAACAGTGTCCAACGAGCAGTCGCGATGTTTGAGATCCAAGATCTTATCCGACTCAATCCAATGATCTAAGTCAGATTTTCTCATGCTGAAAATCCTCAGGAACGCTCGCATCTGCTCGGAGATCGGCTCGCTGGAGTCCTGGAGCAAGAATGTCATAGTAGTGCTGGAGAACCCAAGTTTTTCCAGCAAAAGTGTCTTCTCGCGGCAAAGGGGGTCTGATTTGCTGATTCCCAGCCTCAATTTAAATCCGTCGTCTTTGTTGTTCTCGGTAACGAATCCTGAGTGTACAAAAAAGTCCGAGTTTGTCCTTGAGCCGTAGTTTATGAATATTTGGTCTCCTGTTTTGAAATCTCGCTTCGCGTAACAATCGCAGGTGTCTGAGTTTACGTTGAAGTCTGTTGTAATCTGATAATTTAATGAGTAAAAAAAATTAATCATAGTTATTAAAAACATGTTATTATTTATTATTATTGTGATTTGTTTTTTTATAAATAATTAAACTTGTACTTACAGGTCCTTCCTCGTGATTGCACATGTCCCACATTGGTATGAGCGCGTGGATCATCTGGGTACCATTTTTACTTGGAATTATATTTTGTCTTGTCATTACTGTTGATACTGCCCAGCTAAAACATAAAAATATAATAGATCTTTATCAATTATTATCATATCTTTAATATTTTAGACAGAGTATATTAAACATAAATAAAATAAAATACTCAAATGAAAGATCTTGATGAGTGTAATATCGGGATGAGCTTATATTGTTAAAAATGTCAATAGTTTACAAGATACAAGGCCATTTCTTAATTAAGTTTCTTGAGAACTATTGAAATTTTTAAAGATATAAGCTCATCCCGATGTTACATTCATTGAGACCTTTCATTTGAGTACCCACATGAATTTTTTATTATATATATATATATATATATATATATATATGAAAAATATATCAAAAATGCATGTGGGTATTCAAATGAAAGCTCTTGATGAGTGTAATATCGGAATGAGCTTATATTTTTAAAAACGTCAATATTTAAGAAAGTACAGTGCAATTTAACAAAATTCATTATTTAATAAAGCAAAATTTTATTTATTTATAGTGCACTCAGCAGTCACATAGTGACCGCAAGGTTGCTAGTTAAGATTGTTAGTTATTTTGGCGTAAATATCAAAAATATGAGAAAATGATAAGACCTTTTAATTTTGTAGAAAATTAAATTCTTTATCAAAAAGGTCTTTGTCAATTTTTTGATATTTTAGACAGAATATTGATTTTAACGAAGTATGAAAAAATTGACGCGATTTTAAAATCATTGATAGCAATAATAATAACAATAATAATTAAAAAAGTTTTTTTTTATAATTAATTATCATTGTACGGTTTTTAATAAAATTCTATTTTGATAAATTACAATGAATGAGTTAAAAAAAATATTTTTAAGTTAAATGAAATAAAAATATAATTTGGGTAATTGAAAGTCAAGATTGAAACATCAAATGAGAGTACTTTCACATAAACTTTCATATTGTTTTAATCTCAATAAAAATTGTTTTACATCTATTAAACAAAACTCTTTAAAAATTTAAAATGAATAATTGATTAATTTAATTAATTAATGTCTTTTGTAATTCTTAAAGTAATTTAATTATTTAATAATACCAGTTAAAAAATTAACATTTAAATGGATTGAGTATCACTTACAATTATAAACATTAATTATAATAAAATTCATAACAATGAGTGATAAATAAATTTTTTATTGAAAAGATCGCGAAGAATCTCAACAATGAGAGAATGTGACCGTGAATATTTGTTTGTGAACAGAACGACGTGTGTTTAACAAATAAAAAGGAAAACGGTTATTATAACCGGCGTAACAAAACGGAATAAATAAGATTTTACTCGAGAGAGAAAGTTCTTGGCACGGTGTTTTTATTAATAAATTTCCTGTTAGTGGGTCAGGTTCGCGAGTCCTAAAATTGTCAACTCGTTTTGGATTTCGCTGACCGATTTTCATCCTTAGGTGATTTATTTGCAATGACGGTGTTCGATTACCGGCTCAGGTGAGGGTACTTACTTATAGAACGGCCTGGCAGTAGCCACTGATTACTTATTTGCTTTACTATTTTCTTCTCTTTCAATCTAAAAATTCTAGTCATTCCCGGAGATATTGATAGAAAGTTAACACAGTTATCATATTTTTATAATAGTTCGAAATTAAAAGACTTTTATTCATACTAATTAGTCTTTGAATTATATATTATTATTGTGATTATAAATAATTTTAAAAACACTTTTAAATTCTTCAAGAAATTTTTTTTTGCATTTTTTTTTAAATTAATATTTTGTCTAAAATATCAAAAATATAAAAAAATTGATGGAGATTTTTTTTGTAGAGAATTTAATTAAATTTAAATTGAATTTTTTCATATTTTTAATATTTACTCCAAAATAACAATAATAATCCAAAAATTCCTTCAAAATTGATCAAAAAATTTTTTTTTTGTTTATATTTAATATTTTGTGTAAAATATCAAAGATTTGATAAAATTGGTAGATCTTTTTGATAAAAAATTTAATTTTTTACAAAAAAGGTCTCATCATTTTTTTATTTTTTCAATATTTCAGCTAAAATGACAATAATAATAATTTAGCAAATCTAAATTCCATTAAAAAAAATTAAATAAAAACAATTTTTAAAATTTTGAACAAAATATTGAAATTAAAAAAAAATGATAAAAAACTTTGTAGAGAATTAAATTCTCTATAAAAAAAAAATCCTTCATCAATTTTTTCATATCTTCAATCTTTCAGACAGAATAATTATTCAAAAATATTGAACTATTTAATAAAAAATAATTAAAAATAAAAAAACTAAATAAATATTCAAAGTTTCAGTAAGAAAAATTGTAATTAAATAAATGACTTATTTTATTAATAAAATAAAAGCAAACCAAAGTGAAAAGAGTGAAATTGTCCTTTCAATATCTCTAAAACTCCCACAAAAATAAAATAAAAAGAAGAAATACATTTATATTAATTAAATTCCCAAATAACAATTAAAAACTCAACTAAAGAACTATAGAAGGGAACGTGGATGTACACTTGGATGCATGTGAGAAGGTCGTGAGATCTGCTAGCACTTTCTACTGTTTATTTTCAGCGTTATCAATTCGCGGATCAAAAATTGAAACCAAAACCTTCGATTCCTTTTTTAATTTCCCAGAAATTAAAATAAAAATTAAAATTTAAACTTAAAAAAAAATTGAAATAAAAACAAAAATTAAAATAAAAACTAAACAATTAAAAAATTATAGTTTAAAAAAGAATTAAAATTAAAAATAAAAGTTAAACTTAAAAAAAATAAAAATAAAAGCAAAACAAGAATTCAAAAATTAAAATTTAAAGAAGAATTTAAATTAAAACAAAAATTACAATTAAAAAAAAAAAAAAAAAACAAAAAAAAACAAAAATAAATCCATTAATTAAAAACTAATCTAAATTATAATTAAACTTCTTCCGACCTAATTAGCTTTCACTTATTCTATTTAAAATAATTAGATAAGTAATAATAACAAAATTAAAAAATAGAGTGGTCAAAAAATGTCTATTGAGTTATATATTACTTGAATTAAAATAAAAAATTCAATGAAATTAAGTCACGTATAATAATTGCTAGAAACTTGTAATGAGCCGGATCATTACATTAACTAGTTGAGTTATACATTTAAAATTACTCCACATATTTATTTTAAAAATCCGACGGTCATATAGTTGTTATTGCTGCGGGTAAAATCCGAGTTTATGATCAAAGAAATGTTAATTTAATGGTAATGAGTAATCAGCTATTGGATTTTATTAAGTACTTGTCTGTATAATAATAAGTGTAATAAGAATAAATGTAACTCGGAGAGAGATGGAAGGCGAGAGCTGGTATCTATGAACCTTTAGAAGTATCTTTAAGTTTCACCGGCTTACTTACTGCTACGGTTAAGAGAAAACCGCATCAGTTTGCGAGACAATCTTAACGCGTGTGCATCGATACTCTTTTAATATTTCTTCATACTTTTTTTTTTTTTAAAATTAAAAAATTTATTGTTTAAAAATATTTGACAAAAGTGGAGTTTTTTTTTTATTAAATTAAATTATTTATTTTTTTTATTTTAAATTAATGAATGAACTGGGAAGAAATTATTAGAGTGTGTAATAAAAATAGGAAGAATATTATATTTATTATTCTGGTGTTTATGGTTTGGTTTGTGCATTACTGGGATAAGCGGAGAGCAAAAAAAGTTTATTTGTTTAATTATCATTGATAGTTAATATTAATTAATTAATTTTGTGGAAAAAATTAATTGAGAAGTTTTTTTGAGATGCTGAGCACTTTGGTGTTCAAGCTTTTGAAGAAATGACGCGGACTTTTGTACTAGAAAATTTATATTAGAACAGTTTGAGTTACGAGAAATTATGGATAGAGGATTACAATTGTTATTGTTATTACTATTGGCAGTAGTTGCAATTGGAAACTGTCTGACATTTGACTCGAGATTGAGCGGCTCGAAAAATTCGAGGAGAAATCACGTAAGTTAAGATGATTTTATTAGAGTTTCTAATTTTAAATTGATGAGCTTCACTGACTATTTTTTATTATTATTAATATGTAAAATCTTCGTAAGAGACCAAAGTCGTGCAAATAAAACTATTTATTATTATTTTTCTACTTAAAAAAAAATGGAATTTTATATTTTATAATTTTATTAAAAAATTGTATTATTTTTTTTATTATTGTCTTTAAAAAAATTAATTAATAATAATCAGTCTTATTTTTTTTATATATTTATCTTTATAAATATTAAAGTTCGCTATTTTAATTATATAAATGCATAATTCATAAATATACTTTCATATAGATATTTCTAGAAAGACTTTTAAATATTCTTATTAAAAAATAACATTTAATATTTTTATTTTAAAAAATCTTTTTAAATTTTTAAATCCTAAAATTTTTTGAAAATAAATTTTTTTATCAATATTTTTTATAATTTATTTTTTAAATAGGGTAAACATCCCACAAATGGACGATTAAACAAACTTTTATGTTCTTTTAGCAAAACAATAATAAGAAAAATTAAATTAATTAACAAGAAAAAAATAAGTAAAATTTCGTAGCAATTAACAAAAAAGTAGTAATAACAAATTAAAAAAATTTTTTTAAATTATTATTGTTAATACAAAAATTCAAAAACTCATTTTTCGCTCTTTCAACTTTTTGTAGTTTAAAAAAAAAATTATTTCACGTTTTTGATTTTAAATTTAACGTAATTATTTTTTATTTTTTATTTTATTAAATTAATTTTAATTAATGACAATAATTTCATTAAAAATTTAATTTCTTCTTTGCTTTATTTTTTTTTTAATTTCGAACATCTTTTCTTATTTAAAATTATTTTTTATAAAATTAAAATTTTTTTTGCTAATTCTTCAATTGTATGATTACTTATTCTTTAAATTTTTGATTTAATTTATTAAATTAATTGCAATCTTTCAAATAAATAATCTTTTAAATAAATAAATCTTTCGTAATTTCTGAATAATTCATATTGCACTCATTGTTCATAAAAATTGCATAAAAAATTTATAAACCTAAAAAATAAAAATAAATAAAAACAAACCATACTTATAAAAACCCTTGCGTAATTTTTTATTTACAAAACTTTCTTCTCAAACTAAGTACTTGCGGTTTTCGCGTCATATTTTCGACCGGAAGTAAACAAAAAATAATAAACAGAATAATAAAACCGGCCGTAAAGACTCAATTACTCACTTTCTCAATCTAACTTTAAAAAAAATAAATCTATATATTTCTTCTTGACTAGTATTAATAAATTATCCTTCAAAGCCGGCAATAATATAATATTCTAGATTCATAAATGGCAGCGAGTCATGGTGAAATTTAAATACTCTTAAGAATCTCGGCTCGCAATTCATCTACAATAAATAAAATATAAAATAGGACAATGTAATATGTAATACAGCAATTATTCAACTCGGCAACTAAAACAAAACATACGTAGCGAGAATAGCTTGCTTTGAGAAGAATAATATAATTTAATATAATATAATAATATAGCTAAGAAATAAATTCTCTCGACTTTCCATGGGACTTTCGACTGCACGATGATCATAATTGGAGCTTCTTTCTCACGATTCTCGTTACAATTCCTTAGCTATTACAATTACATGGTTTAGCGCCATAGTCCATGAAATAACTTGAGATATCATAAAATCTCCTTCGAAAGCCCATCATTAATTTACTTCTTTGAAATTAAAATTAAAAAAAATTTTTTTTTAATTAAAGTTAAAAAAAAAGGAATTTTATTTTGAAAAAAAAAATCTAATCAATTTTTTTTTTCAGAAGTACCCTCATCTAAATGGCGAGGAAGCTGTGCTTTCAGCAGCGGCAGCAGTAGCCGTCGCAGCGACCGCGGATTACCATCCAGATTATCTACCCCAAGAGTCAATTTCTCAATTTACCACCAGCAATAATAATAATAATAATAATAATAATAATAATAACAACAATAACCGCGAAGAAGAAACTGAATACCAGGGCGGAAAGCTCATAGGAAAATGGCGGAGTACGGGCGAAGCTATCGAGCCAAAATGGCGAGACGGCGACTCAGTTCCGCTAGTTCCCTTCGAAGAGGCCGCTACTAGACGAAAAGTACCTAAACCGCGGGAAAAAACAAACCCTTATAGTATTAATTATTCGGAAAATGTCAAAAAAGTTGGTAAGGTTCATCATGAGCAGGGCAAAGTACCAATTTTCAATTTTCCTTTGGTAATTACTGATAAACCAGGAGTAGTAGATGGCAGTAAATTTTATCAAAACGGTGGAATTCCAACTCCGGTAATATTAAAAACTCCTCAATTACCAGTTGCTGTTCCTGTTACAGTACCATTGAATCATGAGCCAATAACAAATAAATTACATGAATTACATCTTGCTAAATTACGGTATTTAAATATTCCATTAACAAATATTAATTTACCAATACCTGAAATTATTTCTTCTTCTGAAATAACTCCACATAATTATTATTATACAACCGATGAAAATAATAATAATAATAATAACAACAACAACAATAAACACCGCAACAACAACGACAATAATAATAATAATAATAATAATAATAATAATAATAATAATAATAATAATAATAATTTAAGAAATGGAAATAAACGTTATCGTACCAGGAAACCAAAGCCTGTAACTAAATTACCGGAAGAAGATTCACATACAAGTTACGTAGAACAAACTATTCAAACAAGTTTATCTACAACACCTATAACAACGCCTACTTTAAGTGTAACAACTCCAACAACTCCAATAAGTACAACTATTACAACAACGACTATTTCTTCATCATCACCACCATTACCATCAACAACAACAACGACAACGACAACGACAACAACGACGACATCAAGACCTACCACTGTTAGTACCAGTTCCAGTACTAATCCAAGTACATTGACACCAAATACAAGTACGGAAAAAACAAAACAGGTTACGCGTACCAGCGATTGGGTCAATCCATTCGGGAATAAAAACGAGTACGAGGTGAATGACGAAGAATACCAGCGACCCCGGCCTAGAAAACGCAGACCGCCTAGCAATTACGAGTTCCAGGTCGAACGAAACAGGGAGTTGGATTCTGAACGCCGGAGAAATAGGACCAAGGTATCTTCTTCAACTTCAATTCCTCAGGAAGAAAACTCGGAATTAAAGTCCTTGCTGAAGATGCAGCAGATTGAGGGCAGTAGCTTATCCGAAGTTCTGCAGAGGAAGAACTTGAGCTTGAGCGACTTGCTCAAGAGGAAGTCGGAAGTTATTAGCGCGTTGAAAAGCAAGGAGTCTGATTATGAAGCAGATAGTGGGTTTAGTAATATTACCAGTTTGTTTAATAATACTGATGCTGGTGGGGGTAAAGGTAATGAAGAAGAAAATGGAAAAAGAAATAGTACTGGTAATAATGTAGATAATGTTGGGAAGATTAAGAATTCTGGTAAAGATTCTAATGAACGACGGTGGCGACGGCCATTTAGACGCAACAAATTGCGCGTTAATTCAAGGATATCAACAACAACATCTAGATCTCCTGTTTTAAAAGAAGAAATCACGGATGAATTAGATAAAAAAAAGCTAACTCAAGAACCTAATGAGAGAAAGTACGAAAAACTTTCAACAACTAAATTACCTTCGCCTATAATATTTCCACGGCTGAATTCCTTTACCAAGAAACCAACGTCTACATCAGCTCAACCACCTAGTGTGATAACAACCGCGATTATTGAAGAAGCCGTTCCAGCTGAGGAGACAACTAACGAGGAGCAATCAACCACGACCCAACCCAACGATGAGATAATGGAGTTCTCTGATTTTTCAACAATTCCTTCAGATATTGAGGATAGCACCGAAAGTAGCAAAGATTCTTCAGTGACTGAAAGAATCGGGAACACTATTTTCGCCAAATTTGAAGACTTAACCAGAGAAGTAGGGTCTACGTTAAGCATCGAGCACATTCTGACCACCCAGCCGCCAACTAAGCCTACTAAAGTCGAGTATGCTGATGACAAGTCTAATAATCTCTTTGAATCTGATGATTATCAGAATGATGGAAAGGATATTGAAGCTACTACTCTAACTCTAGGAGTTGAAGATTATGAAACAGGAAAACCTGGGCAAGTTTATGAAAAAATAGTTTCTAAAATGGAGCCTGAAGTTCGCGCGGAGATCTTTGAACTTATTAGTACTGGCTCTAGTGCTAAAAGACTTGAAGATATTCTGAGTTCAAGGAATATGAGCATTGATGAGTTGATTGCTTTAAGACAGCGCGGGTCCAGTCAAGTACATTTAGCAGAAATTTCAAGGATTAGGCCAGAAAATTTAAAGAATTTTGAAGAAAATGAAGGTGTTACGGAAGGTTCTGAAGTTTTGGAGGACAAAATGGAGGAAGAGGGTAAGAAAGAGCCGATTGTTATCGATTTGTTTGGTGGTAAAGCTGAGGAAGGTAAGAAGATTGATGATAAGGAAGTTTTTGATCTGGAGGATTTGCTAAAAGCTTTTGATTCGCTGCCTTTTGGAAGAAACTTGACTATTGATGGGGAAATTGTGGAGAAGGTTTCTACGGTTACTTCCACTTCGACGACTGAGTCTTTGAAGTATGAAGTTAGGAATTCTTTTGATGGTCTTAAGGCGAAATTTGAAGAAGATGATGATGGTTTGAAGGAAGAAAATTTGAGAATTGGAAAGGAAAAGGAAGTAAGATCTGGGAAGAATATTCAAGTGGAAGGAAAATTAATAGAGCAGGAAATTGGAGCGGTTGAAGAAGTGATTCATGAACTGGAGAGTTTAGGGGCTGAGAAGACTCCAGAAGTTTTTAATGAAGAAGAGAAGAAAACTTTGTCGAGGGTGAGACCTAGTATTATTGCAAGTGGAGCGATTTTAGGATTGACTATTGTTGGGTTTTTGGTGATCTTCATCGTCTGCAGGATCAAGCAGAAGCAGAGGTACAGGTACAAGAATTCTTTCGCAAAAACTGTTTTTCAAGCACCGGCTATTAATAGAAAGCTCTCGAATTCTAGTAGTCTTAATACGATTATGGTTAATGTGGTGGCCACTTCAACTACTAAACGCATGGTTCAGCAAGAGACTCAGCAAGTTGAAGAGCGCTTTGATTGTAAGAGCGATATTGATAATGACTCGCTGGATGCTAATGATAGTTGGGAGACTATTCCTGATTTTATGAAGTGATCTAGGTTTATCTAGCAGTATTTGTAGGAAATTACGCAAGGCTGATTGTTTTTTTTTTTAAGTTAAATTTTGTAATTAAATTTTAAATTTATTTTGAAATGGGAGGAGTACTTTTATTTATTTTTAGTGTATTTATGTTATTTTTGAAATATATGGATGTATATTTTAATGAATTTTTTGAATTTGACTTACCAATATTCTTCGTAGGTAAAAATTTCTCGGAGGAGCTCGGAGACTGGGTTGCTGTTGTTGTTGAAGAGTTGGTTGAAGTAGGAGTATTGTCGCGCAATGTTTCGACAATGTTTCAATGCAGCTTCTAGATAATTAATTTATTGGATGAGTTTTTATTAGTTATTTTGCAATAATCTTTAATGATTTATGACTGAATTTTTAGTGATTTTTAAATAAATAAAAAATATAAATTTACCTAAAGTAGGACTGCCTTTCAACTCGATCATATCATTGGTGGTCATATACAAGACAGTACAATAATTACTAGGCAAAATGTTCAAGTAAGGTTTCCATTTGGAGTTGTCCTTGTGTCTCTCAATAAGCAGAGCGATGGCCAGAGCCACTTGAGGCATGTGCTGGATCAGTGGATCATTTTGCAGAGCCGCGAGCTCAGGTGCTGCTGTCTCGCAGCTGAAGATTATTTTTCCAGGTATTTGCAGCAGCAAATCATTTACGCTAAAGTTCTTTCCAGCTTTCAATCCCAGCTCGTATCCCGGGAACTCGGCGATGCTCGTCCCCTCGTAATTCGCTCCGTTTTCTTGCAACCATTTTAGGAATTGTTCAATTGCTACTGAACGCTTGGATGTCCCGCTGATCTTCATGTCCTCTAGTCGTTTAACCTTTTCCAGCACCGCCGTGATCTCCAAGTAATTTTCCCATAACTGTGTTGAATATTCTGGATCGCTGCATACTGTTTTTTAAAATTAATTAGATTAATTAAATTAATAAATAATTAAATATTATCGTACTGGAATTAACTTTATAATTTTTTTATTATTTAAAAAATTATTATTTAAGAAATGAAAAAAAAAATTTCACATATAAAAAATTTTGAATGGAATTTTTAACAAATAATTTCTTAATTTTTATTTAATTTCATTAAATAAAAAATAAAAATTTCATTTGTAAAAAACTTAAAAAAACTACAAATGCAATTTAAAAAATTTTTTTGTTCTAATTTAATTAATGAAAAAAAATTAAAAACGTCGGCTAACTTTATTATTATTAAAAAATATATTTTTAAAATATTATTAGTGATAAAATAATTAAAAAAAAAAAAAAATGTCAAAATTTTAGAAATTTCAGTATTAAAAAAAATAAAAAAATACTTACATCGTAATAATTTATCACACTGAATTAAAATTTCATTCTTTTTTGTAGACGACAATTTTTTCGGCTGAGTATTTTGTTTACACTTACTTGGATGTGATTTTTTCCTACCCATTTTTTAAACCCAACAATGTTATTTATTTAAATATATTTTAAAGTCTTTAAACCTTTGGTGCATTATTAAATGTCAAACTCGGAATTCAACAGCGACACTGAATATAAGTATACTAAAATACTCAAATAAAGTTTTATACAGAAATTAAAAAATTCTAATTTTTAAATTTAAACATAAAACTGAGTCTATTTTTTATTTTATAAATTATATTTACACTAAAAATAAACAAACTGGGTCTAATTGCAGAAGCTACTTCTAGGGGATCATGAATAGATAAAATTACAACATAACCTTTTAGTTTTTATGTAGTGTAAATATTTAATATTTACTCGCTGGTAATTTTGACGTTTACTTATTCTAGTATTGATATTTTTTTCCACCGGAAAAAATGTCTTCCATGTCTCTGGATAGTAAACATCATTTAAAAGTTTTTTCTTACCGCCGGTAAAGAAGATTTTACACTAAACTGATCAATTTAGTTCAAAATTCGAATTTAGCCGCCATCTTGTAAAAAAATTTTCAAAATTAACAGCTGTCAGCTCTGACTTCAGTTCCTTCCACCATTTTTTAATAGAAAGGTTTCAAGTAACGGTCGGTTTTTTAATCCAGGATAAAATTTTATCTAATAATAAAATAAATATATATATTTTAATTTATATAAATGAAATAATAATAATAATAATAATATACTTTTATTTTTGGATTAAAAGATTGGACTTGAATTTTTTATTAAGAGATAAGTGTATTTACACAAATTATTGAGTTCAAGGCTAGGAAAATTTTGTATAAGTACATACACTGATTTTTGATTAAAAAATTTAGGTCCAATTTTTCAATCCAGGATAAAAGTATTATTATTATTATTATTATTATCAGTATATTTATATATATGAAGTATATAATATATATATTTTATAATTGGATAAAATTTTATCCTGGATTAAAAAACTGGCCATTAATTTAAAATAATAATAAAGTTAGCCGACATTTTTGATTTTTTTATTTTGATTAATTTAATAAATTGTAACTAAAAAATATTTTTAAAAAATTTTATTTATAGTTTTTAACAAATGAAAAAATTTTTTTATAATAATTCTTTAATAAAAAAAAAATCATAAAAATTTTTAGATGTCGGCTAACTTTATTTTGATTAACTTAATTTAAATATTTTTATTAAAAAATGAAGAAACTGAAGTCAGCTGACAGCTGTTAAATTTTTTTACAAAAAATGTCAGCTACTTTCACTCTCATACAAAATTTTGCTAATCCTGAAAGTCAGTAATTAGTATTATAAGAATGAAATTAGCAGATAGCTGTCAATTTTTAAAATTTTCTTTATTAAAAAAGAAATAAAATGAAAAAATTCATATGAAGATTTAAAAAATTACAAGTAAGTAAGTAGAATTTTGAAAAAATATTTTTTTAGTTTTAATTTAATCCATAAAAAAATGAAAAAATTTTTAATTAATTCACATGTGATGATTTTTGGGTATTTTTTTATTGAAAAAATTATTACAAAAATAATTTTACTTCTTAAAGATTTAAAAAAATCAACCTTGCAATTTTATTAAAGTATTTTTTTACTTGCAATTTAATAATTGAAAAAAATATTTGTAAAAAAAATTATTAAAAATATCAAATATTTATTAGAATGAAAAACATAAAAAATAATTAATCAGAGTGAGCAGGTAGCAATTTTCCAGCACATTGACCAAACCCAACTTTGTAATCATCTCCAACACAGTACCCGCGGATAATAACTTCGTCATTATCTTGCAAAAATTTTCTAGTAGTACCATCTTGCATTGAAACTGGCATTGTTCCTTTCCATGATAATTCTAGCATAGATCCGAACGAATCAGCAGCCTATAAAGAAGAAAAAAAAATTAATAATCATCAATAATTATTATTTAATTAATTTTAATGAACTTACTTCACCACTTATAGTACCAGAGGCCATCAAATCTCCAGGATTAACATTGCAACCAGTGACTGTGTGATGAGCCAGCTGCTGCTGAGGTGTCCAGTACATATTCTTGTAGTTACTGCGTGATACTGTCGTCACTATTCCTTTGGGGGCTGAAATGACAACCAATCGCAGGTAAATAATTTAATTATTAAATCAAATAATTGTTTTAAATAAATTATTATTAAAGTTATTATTACTTTTGATGTCGACTTCAAGTTTGATGTCAAAATTGCAAAAATTATTGTGCTGAAGATACTCGAATGGTTTTGGATCTTGGTCCATGTTTGGAACTTTGAAAGGCTCCAGAGCTTCCATAGTTACTACCCAGGGTGAAATTGTAGTCCCAAAATTTTTTGCACCAAATGGACCCAAGGGGACGTACTCCCACTTTTGAATGTCTCTGGCTAGTAATTTAATTTAAAGAATTAATTTTCATAACTTTTAGATTAGTAAAGTGGTTTAGGGGTACATTTTAAAACCAAATTTTTTTTTTAGAGTAGCTAGTGATTAAATTAATGACTTACCACTCCAATCATTCATTAAAACCATCCCAAAAATATGATCGTAGGCTTTTGAAGCAGGAATAGATTCCCCAAGTTTAGTAGGTGCTCCACCAACAAAAAACGCGACTTCTAGCTCAAAGTCCATGAGTTTAGAAGTTCCATAAACTGGAGCTTGCCCTTCTACAGGGACAGTTTGGCCTCTTGGACGGTGCAGAGGAGTTCCTGATATTACTACCGAGCTGGCGCGACCGTGGTAGCCTACTGGTAAATATTTCCTGTAAATAAACCATTCCGTCGATTTTTAAAAAAATTTAAGAATGATTGATAGATAGATTTGGAGAATTAATGATCAAAGTACCAGTTAGGCATTAATGCATTTTCTTTTCCTCGGAACATTATTCCGACATTTGTTGCGTGATGAATTGAAGAGTAAAAGTCTGTGTAATCTCCTATTTTTGCTGGTAAATGCATTATTGCGGAGTCTTGTTTTATAAATGCTCTGGAAGTTTAATTGATGGTTAGTTTTAAATTATGGAAAATAAATTAAAAAAGATAAAATTTACTTTGATCTCAAAGGTTCCTCTTGAAGCTCTGTACTTGAAGTAGATAACAATTTTTGAATAGTAGACCTCGCTTCCAGCCAAGCGGGTCTTCCAAGTGCCATAAAATCATTGAGACAATCTTGACGAAAGACATCTTGCTTCCCTGATAAAAGCGGCCCGGTAAATAAATGCGATATGATAAATAGGTCCAATATTTGGTCTCCAATAGCTACTCCTATATGTTTCTGCGTCTAAAGACCAGAAAAAAAATTATTTAAAAAATTAAATTAAAAACCGCGGAATTTTTATCGACTGTTCCTCACTTTTATCAGCCGAAGATACACTAGACATAAATCCTTAAGGATTTATATTTTTAATTCTAGTATTATTAACAAATAACAAGATAAAAATGAATTATGATGAATTAAAAATTATTTAAAAAAGAAATTTTTATTTCTATTGCAAGAAATAAAATTTTAAAATTTCTAACCTTCTGTAAATTATTGATTATTTATCAAAGATTTAAACATGTAAATTTATTTATTTATTTATTTATTTATTAAAAAAGAAATCATTACCTGGTTGGAAGTAGTAAAGACTCCATACGGCAAATTTTCAATCGGAAACTCGCAATCTCGCGAATAATTAATAAAAGACTTCATTATTTTTGTGTATTCTGTACGATATCGCGGCGTAGAATAAAATGAACAGACTACCTACAATTCACGGATTAGAAGAGGCGCTATCGAGGTCGACTAGCTCGTTGATTATTTATTCATATGCTGGTTTAATAACAACATGTTTTACCGTAAACTAACAGGTTTATTTTGAAAAATTTTTATCAAGTATTTTTTTTATTACTTTAATTAGCAAATTTAATAATATATTTTTTTTTACTTTAATTAGAAAATTTAGTTATTAATATTTTTAAAAAGAATTATTATCATTATAATTTATTAAAAATTTTATTTCTTAATTAAATACTAATAAATTTTAAAATTATGAAGAAAAGGATAATTATAAAAAATTTGAATAAGGATAACAGCATTTTATTATATATTCACATACAGGATATATTTTAGGCAATTTAAATGCATAATTTTCTACATCAACAATAATAATTATAATTTATAATATACATTAAAACCACAAACTAACTCAAAAAATCTCAAAACTCCGTCTTATACAATTATCTCGACGGAAACAAATCCAAATTAATCAAACAATTTATTACAATCGAATAATTTAATTAACATCACTAACATATACCTCAGCGGGTGGAAGACGTGTGATTTTGTTGTTTATCTATACTTTTTTCAGCAATACAAGCTCAGTATAAGTTACATTACCGCTAGATAAATTACAATGACATGAATTTAACGAAAATGTTAGAGTATATACAAGATGAAAGTTGAATTTCAACAAATTTCGTCTTTAAAAAATTATTTCTCAAACATGCAAAATTATTCCAATTCAATTTTTATTAAGCTTTACATATTTAAAAATTATTAAAGTTTTCTAATCCTTAAAATTATAAATTTTAATTTAAAACAATTTAAATTTTCCCGCGCAAAAATTCAAGCGCGCGGATACCTCCGCCATTTCACGCACCAGCAGCCATGTTGAGAAGTAATTTTCTCTAGACGAAAAACTAACACAATTAATGAATTAGAAGCAATAATAAAAAATTTCCAAGGGAAAATAAATACATACATATAATAGTATATCCCAATAACTTTATACAGTATTTTTTGATACGACATAAAACAGTCAGGAAAATATTAACGTTGACTAATGAATCGACCACTAGTCAAAATATAGTTTTCACAAATTTAACGGGACATATTTTTACTTATACATTTTTTTTAAATATACCTTTTTATTGTAGTCATAATAATTATTTGCAATCTAAAAATACACCCTTCATAAATATTTATGCACCATTTTTTTTTTTTCATAAATAATACTTTGATATATAGATATATTTTATTTATATTTTTGTTAGTTTAATTATTTTAATGCGTTGTTGCATTTTCTACTCTGGACGTACATTTTACACCAACATTTAATACAGCTTGATAATTTTGCAATTATTTAATCCAAACCATAATTATTGATCATCAGATCTGAATTGACGCCGGTATTTATTTTATTGCCCTTCTACACATGCGCTTTTTTCTAAACAGGGTTATACAATTTATGTACGCAAATGTATCATACATAAATACATTTTTTTTTCATTTATAATTTATAATTTATAATAATATATATTTTTTATTTTATTACAGCTAAATAAGTCATTACAGATGGTCGAATAATGGCGTTGAAAATCTACCGATTTTCGTTCTAATTAATATTCTTTTTTTATAAATTAACTTTAAAACTTTCAAACAATTTTTTAAAAATATTATTATTGACTGTTTTGCTAATTAACGCGCTAATGTTTAAAAAAAAATTTTTTGTTAATTCAAATTAGCGAAATTAGCTTGATTAATTTAATAAGCATGTACTTTCATGGTTTTTCTTTTCTTTAGTTATAATTTTCATGCTAAATTTACGGGGAATAATTTAAATCTTTTTTAATTAATGAAAAAAATTATTTTTTTATTTTGATTGTAATTTTTTATTTTTATAATTAAGAAAAATTAATTTTAAAAAATCATAATTTAATTTGATAAAAAAATCAAGATTTAAATTATTTTTCCCCGACTAAATTTTAATAATCTAAAAAAAAAGCTTGCAAAATTTCAACAAAAAAAAATTAATTAAAAAAGAAAAACTCATAATTAAATCCACATTTCTTACATTCATTTAAATATCCTCCATTAAAATATTTATCTTGATATTAACAAAATATTATTTACCGAGCCAGCTCGCGTGCAATTCCGTGCATTATTTCAATCCATAAACAATTCCTCCTTAAATATTTATTTAAATAATAAAATACTTTGCGTTATACTTGATTTACTTTAAAATTTATAATTAATAATAATTGTATGCTGATATGAGTCGCTTAAGACTAATCGTGTCTACTTTCGTAAAGACCAACATCAATAAATTAGATGTCTGATAATTTAACAGTTAACACTTATGCGTTATAGTAATTTAGTTATTAAAAGGCAAGCGTACCGAGGTAATTGATAATTAACGCTCAGTACACTTGGGCATATGTCTTGATTCAATATTCATGGTTGCTCGTAGGGTTTGTCTTCAAAATAAAGTCTCAATTTTTTAACCGGCCAGTGTTAAAGATAAATATAACAAAAAATAATATTGAAGTAATTAATTTAAATTAAAATTTGTAATTTAAAGATCCTGGCCAAGACGGTCCATCTCGGCGAGCAGGAAGTCGATGTCAGCTTCCGTTACAGCAGCGCTGGAGATTATGTTGCGGAAGAAATTGGGCCTGCGGTCATCTGGCTGGTACCCGACCATCAGAGTGCCGGATTCCATCATCCTGCCTTTTAGGATTGGGCAGATCTTGGAGGGAGAGATGGTGAGTGTTATAAATTTATTTACAAATAATTTATCATTTTTTTACGCTGAAAAAAAATCATCTTACCTCGCCCAAAATTCTCTCCCGTTCTGGGCCATGAGGCATATTCCGTACCCGGGTTGGCAAGTACCAAAAGCAAACGTTAACTAGCTCGGGTTCCAAAATCAAATAGAACCTGTCAGACATCTGCTTGATGCGTTTGACCATGTACTCGCTCAATTCCATCAGTCTGTCCATCAGTTTCTCAAATCCCTCGGTTCCCTACAAGGTTTTAAAATTGAAGAAATTCCGTGATTATTTCAATAGTTTAAAAATTTTCAAAGCATATTTAATTAAAGGGAGGTTAGTACCTTAGCGCGCCATTGGAGCCACAGCTTGAAAATATCGTTGTGACGACCGCATTGGATTACCTTGTCACCGGTGTCGTACCTGACGTCGTAGAGCTTGTCTGTCATGAACAAGTACTCGGCGGACATCTGGTTACAGCTGATCAAAAGACCCTGGAAAATTTAAATGACAAATTTTTTGGGTAGTTTTTGGAACTTTAGTGGTCTTAATGTTTTGCTGCATTGATTTTAAAGCTCAAAACAATGTGAAAGTGATGTTTTTTAGATATTTTACAACTCCCTATAAAATTTTATGAGTTAATATTATCAAAATATCCAATTTTGAGTCACTCCATTAATGTTAAGGATCAAAACATTTAAAAAGTAACGTTTCAAGGGCATTTTCATAATTCGTTTTCAATTTTATTGATAAAATATTGATAGTTTTATCAATATAAAGATTCAAATTGTTCAAAAATCCGATTTAGAGTCCCTGCATTGATTTTGGAGGTGAAAACAGTTCAAAAGTCACGTTCAATAGGTATTTTATGCTCAATTTGTACTTGTATTAATCAATACTCTTCTTACGGGTGTAAAAATTGACTGAGTAATTAATTTTGAATCTCTGCATTAATTTTGAGGATCAAAACAGTTCAAAAGTTAAGTTTAAAAATTTTTTTTACATTCAATTTTGGATTTTATAGATAATATTATCCTTCAAGAGATAAAACTTTGTTTTAATTTTCTATTTGAAACCCTTACATTAATTTTAAGGATCAAAAGAGTTTAAAAACGACATTAAAAATTATTTTACCATCAATCTTAGATTATATTGATGATATTCGTTTTTGGAGAGGATAATTTTGTCAAAATTTATTATTCAAAGTCCCTATATCAATATTGAAGTTCAAAACTGATCCAAAGTCACGTTTTGATACTATTCTACCCTCCGTTTTAAATTTTATTTACAATAGTTGATTCACAGGGGTAAAATTTGACAAAATATCTGATTTAAAGTCATTAGATTAAAAACAAGCCAAACAAAAGCCAAAGTGGGGACCGATGAAATAAAAATGATAAAGCACGGTATCATCCGTTGATAGTCCAAAATAGATAGAGATAGTAGGTGTCATATACATGTAATTTATACATGAATTCAAATATGATCGAGTAGCTGAAGGGTGGGCCATGTGTCAAAGTGATATATAATAGGCTAAAGTGAAGTTCTGCGATTCGCTTGCGCATCGCGGAAATGTTGTCTGAGTTCCGGTCGATATCGCTTCTGTTCTGATATACAGTACAGTTATCCAAACTCTGACACATGCGCACCGGAAATGGAACCGAAGACAAATATATGCATAAATACACCCACACCTTCAAGGGTCTCGTTCGTGTACTTTCACAAGGCTATTATCAGTTTCGTAATGGCGGTTTTGTTTATCGAATTTCCGCCATTTGGTTGTAACAGGAAGCACCCAAACTTCCAAGTAAAGAATATAATTATTTATTACTTATTTTACAGTTTCACCCACGAGAGACTTAACTAATATTTAAAACTCTAAAAATTCTATTTATAAATTTTTTTTTTTCGCGGGTTCGACTTCTTAGATCCTGAAAATAATTTGTAAAATCTCGTGTTAGAATAAACGGATCACCCCTTCTATTTCAAAGTTTAGCTGTCAGGGCTCGGAAAAATATTCCGGGGGCTTGTGTAACAGCCGGCGCGAGGAATTTTAATATCTTCGGGGTGCGTAGGTGTGTGAGTGTGTGTCTGTCAGCAAGGGGGTGAGTTAGCAATAACTACGACGTGCTGTAGGGTCGAGTGTAACCCTCTGAGCATCCATAGCTCCAGTCAGTCAGCATTCTCGGCAACATATGTTATCTCTTAGTTTAATTAAATTCCTCTGTAGTGTCCCGGACCCTGTATGTTGTATGTTGTATATATGCTTTACGACGTTCCTGATAGGAGACTGAAGCCCATCAACCCTGTCCGCAGAATGGATTTATCAACGTTTCAATAATATTTATTTGTTAGTTTTAAACGCCCATGGTTTCGTATTTTTTTTTTTATACATACGCATTTAATTAATATTTAGGCGATTTTATTTTAAATTTGACTTACTTCTTCCTTGAAATGAATTGTTGAGCATTGCAATAGTGCGCCCATTAATTTATGGGGATTCCAGGTTACTGAGTCAGCGCTAGAATCATAAATAAACAAATAAAAAAATTAATTATCAAATAACTAACAACATTGCAGTTACTTTATGTGACTGTCGTGATTTGTGAGCTATAAATAAATAAAATTTTGCTTTATTAAATAATGAATTTTATTAAATTGCACTGTACTTTCTTAAATATTGACGTTTTTAAAGATATAAGCTCATCCCGATTTCACACTCATCAAGAGCTTTCATTTGAGTACCCACATGCATTTTTGGTATATTTTTCATATATACTAGGATGTGCCAAAATGTAACTCCCGTGGAGGACCTTTTAAAATTGGAATTTTGAGTTCCGCTTTTAACAGGGGCTGTGTTTAGGCATTTCCTGAGATATTTTGGAGTGAGACGATAAATTTGATTTTCATAGAATTTTTTAGCAGGAGGTTTAGTTGGACACTTCCGGCCAAAATTTGAATTTTCAGCGGAAGTGCCCAAACTAAGCTCCGGTTAAAAATTTCTATGAAAATCAAATTTATCGTCTCACTCCAAAATATCTTAGGAAAGACCTAAACAGAGCTGCTTTCAAAAGCGGAACTCAAAATTCCAATTCTAAAAGGTCCTCCACGGGAGTTACATTTTGGCACACCCTAATATATACATATATATAATATATATAAATATATGAAAAATTGATGTGGGTACTCAAATACAAAAAAACTTATTAATTTAATCAAATATTAAATATTAATAAAATTCATCATACTCCCAAACACATAAAATAAATCACACATAATTTTTTCCAAATAACAATTACAATTATGCATAGATTTACAGCAAGAAATACTTGTAATTGTTATTGGATTATCGGATTATTGAATAACTGAAGTAATGGGTAATTAGCATTCCCCGGGCCTTTGGCAATATATATCAGCAATCTGTGGCCTTTGGGGTTGACACCTATATGCGCCAGTGAATACTACGGGTGTGCGAGGGCGGCGGGTGGAGGGTAAGGACAACTAAATGCGTCAGAGTCAGATTCAGCTCTGCGTATCACATTAATCATTTCCCCGCACAGCTTGCTCGATGACGTTTAAATTTATTTTAAAAATCTCTAGGGACATTTTATTTAATAATTACATAGGCTGACTTTTGGGTTAAATGAAAATTAGTTGCAAGCTGCAACTCATTGAGATCTCATGGAGAGAAGGGATTTATTTCAATTGTCACAGCAACAATAATTGTTGAGGTGTAAAAATATAAATAAGGCAGTAAAGAGATTATGATTATGATTATGATATTACGGATAAACGGAGAGTGGTTGTTGGTTGTGACGTTAATCGGTAGAATTGTTAAATGAGGATGCCGAAGAGTAACTAATGGTATGTGACTGCAAACGACGTGAAAGTTCCTCGGCACTCGAAGTCGCGTGCAGTGGTGTACTTATTCGAGGGTATTGTACCTCGAGTGATACTGTCCCAGTGTATCTGCTCGTGAATGAACGCTAAAGGGCCAACCGTATCCAAATTGGACATCCGTGTCACTTGCCATGTATCAATTACATTTGTCAACACTTTGTTATATCTATTTAATTTTATTATCTCGAAAAAAATATAATTGTATTTTTTGAAAAATTTATTAATCATATTAATTATTAAAAATATTTATTTAAAGGATTTTAAATAGCTAAAAAATAGCTTAAAAAATTAATTAAATAAAAGCTTAAAAAATTTTTTTTTGTAATTTTTCATTTTAATATTTGAGTCCTTAAAAGTTTTTATTACTGACATGGTTTTCTCAACAATAAGCGTCGAGTTGTAGAAGTTTGTAAAGAAAACTCTAGCATAGAAAGCAGTACATAGGAATGATAGTGAAGAATAGATAATAGAGAATGAGCTCCATTATTTCGAGGACAATTGATGCAGTAAAAGGAAGGATAAAATAAATGAGAATGAAAGAAAGCTCGCAGACCTTTAACTCTTAAGGTATGTTTGCGCTTTTAACCGGCGTCTCTTGGAATAATCATCGCTGGTATCTTTATCGGGGCGAGCAAACAGTGTCGCGTAAAAAACAGAATGAAAAATAGAAATAACAAAACCCAGTGGGTGTGTGATGTGATGTCTGTAAATATATCTAAGGGAGGAAAAGCTCGGAAGTGGGAGTGAGAAAACAGAAGAGAGAAGTTTGACGTGTCCTTTGTCGAGTAGAGTTTAATCCAGCATTGTCGGGACCAGGCTTTATTTCAGGCTCCTCTCAATATTATACACAGCCCGGCGAAACGACGGACACGTCAATAAGAGGAGAGTCCTGTTCTGCAAATGCGCTTCGGGGAACCGATCCAGCTGTTGCTCCTGCCCGTGGATATTTCAACTTTATCTTCTATTCGTCTGTCTCTGCTCAAGCTTGGTTATCATTCTGGCACTTCCTCGCCGAGCTATTTTAATCAAAATTCACTACACGCGAAAAAGAAAGTTTTACGCTTTCGTCGGGTAAACTCTTTGATACTTTTTAGGGGAAAAATAGATTGTATTTTTTTTTAATTTCAATAAAATATATTGAAGAAGAGAAAATTGTTAAGGATATCTTCGCGTTGAAATTTTATTATTATTATTTTGGATGAAATAAAGAAAATATGAAAAAATAATGAGACTTTTTTTGTAGAAAATTATATTTTTTAGGCAGAATATTAAATTATAAAAAAAAAAATTAATCACAAATTTTTATTGTTAAATTTAAAAAGATTTTTTAAAATATTATTATTCTTATTATTTTGGAGGAAATATTGAAAATATGGAAAAATGATGACATTTTTTGTAAAAAATTTAATTTTATACAGTAAAGGTCTTCGTCAATTTTTTTTATATCTTTAATCCTTTAGACAGAATATTAAATTTAAAAAAAAAACGATGTCAAATTTTTAATGCCGAATTTCATAGGATTTTTTTAATGTTATTATTTTTATTATTTTGAGTGAAATATTGACAATATGGAAAAATGATTAGACACCTTATTTTGTAGAAAATTAAATTTAATTTTTGTAGAAAATTTAATTTTCTACAATAAAGGTCCTTGTTAATTTTTTTATATCTTCGATATATTAGACAGAATAGTAAATATAAATAAAAAAATTTTATTAACTAATTTAAAAGGAGTTTTTAAATGATTATTATTATTTTGGGCGAAATATTAAAAATATGAAAAAATGACAAGGGTTTTTTTTTGTAGAAAATTAAATCCTCTATAATAAAGGTCCTTAAGACTTTTTTTATTTTTGATAATTTAGACAGAGTATTAAATTAAAACAAAAATTTTATAATCAAATTTAAAAGAATTTTTTAGAATCATTTAAAATAAAAATATTTTATAGTCTACCCGAAATAGCTCCTGTGGGAGTAATCATACACTTTTCTTGAGCAAGTGTCTGCCTAGAATCTTGTGTAAGGGCAGTGAACAGATGCGCTCGGATGCAAATCGTGGATTAATCTCGGCAGTCCCTGGGAAGCAGACGAGACAAGCCACCCCGTGCGCTTAAACATCTCCGACCTCCACCCCACAGAGCACTACAATGCACACTGTACAGAACACAGCATCCAGAAATAGCAAACGTGACCCCAGTGACGCTCAAGGGTTGCCTGCCAAGAGTCACTATTTTCATTCCGTCACTCGGATGCGAATTACTTAATATTTTTCTAAAAGATTTACAGACCGGGTAGGTTCACTCCAGACTTTAGAATATTCCTGATGTTCTAAAGTGATTGTGCGGAGGATTACGCTGAGTGAATAGTAATGCTAAGTAATTTTTATACGAAAAGACATTAAAGTACTAAAACGCGTCAATTTATCGATTTTGGCGGCGATAAGCCCAGTAAAAGCAGCTCCTGCCGAATGGGAAACTGCCGCAGTGTGTGTGTGTGTGTGTTTTTTCTGAAGGACTCCATCAAACTAAGCCCCAATAAACTATAAAACTTGAGGATTAACTCTCCCTGTATGGGATCCCCAGTATATAGCAGTCGATAGTCCCGGTCTATCTCAAGTCCCGGTGGAGAATCCGGAGAGGCATCATCTGGAGCCACAGATATATTTTCTATTTGTTTGCACGAGCTTTTTTTGTAAATCCTTCTGTCAAATTTTAGTAACTATTTTTTTCGTCGGTAATTTAGCTGTTTATTTTTGATGATTAATTATTTTTTTTTCTGAGGTACCCCGGGGTAATATAAGCAAGAATAAGTCATTAAAAAATTACATATTTTGTGGGAATTAAAAAGCTCTGAAGAAAAAACTAAAGAAATTACATTTTAATATCTTTAATTACATCTTTTGAAAAAAAAATATTGAAAAAAATTTAATTGATTATTTAGTCGGTTTTTAAATTGAAAATAAAAAAAAATTTAATTAATTTTTAAGTACTGAATATTAATAATATATATTTTAATAACTCCAAAATTTTGATAATAATTTATTAATAGAACATTAAAAAAATTTCATAAATATTGAGTTACTTTTTTTCCAAAATTTAATTAAAAGTTTATTGATATTAAAACATTAAAATAAATTTTCTAAAATATTTATAGACTTTTTTGATTAAAAATTTTACTCAGAATTTATTAAAATTAAAGGATAAAAATATTGGAATATTTATTATTATTAATTGAATAAAAATTGGAGTATGATATTTAATATGATAATTGAAGAAATTAATAAAAACTTACCGTTCAATTCCAGTAAGTCGTGGATGACGATATTTCCGTGATAATAAAAGACCACCTCCCCAAGCAGCCTTGAACAAAGAATAAATTTTTAAACTTCCAATTCTAGTTAATTATTCACTTCTAATTGAAGATTAATCACTTGAACTGAATAGCGGGTTTATTTTATTTCCTGACAATTTGTCGATAGCAGTTAAACCTATTTGCGAGCTTTCGCATTTATTATTAAAGGTAAGACTGCTTAGACACTTGGCATTTGCGTCGAAAATCCCGCACCAGATTTACATAATTTATAAATTTTAATCTTTATCAATTTATGCGTTTACATCAAAAGTTTCAAATTTTACGTAAAAAATTTGCCTAAATTTTATTTATTGCTTTCATTTAATTTTTTTGAAATAAAATTTGGAAGTAAAAATCGGCTGGAATTTATTTAAAAAAATAACTTACGTCAATATGAAGCCATAACTTGTATTTTTCACAAATATCGGCAATCTGAGCAATGGGGTCGAACGCCCCAATCACGGTTGTACCAGCAGTGGCATTCACAAAAAATGGAATGTGACCTCGTGCTTTGCGTTCCAGGATTAATTCTTCCAGCTTTGATGGTATTATGCGGCCACGCTCGTCGCTGGGCACCATCACGCAGTTGTCAGTCCCCAAACCACATACCGACGCGCATGATTTTACTGAGTAGTGGCACTAATTTGGACAAATTATTATTCAATAAAAAAAATCAGTTTCTGAACTTATTACTTATGATTTATTGAATTTTGGTGACAGATTATAAATATCCATGTTAATAATATTCGCGATCATAAATATAATATATAGAATTTTTGGTAAAAAATAAATTTATTTTTCAGTAGAAAAAATTATATTTTTAACAGATAAATAGTATTTTTCTGTGAAATTAAGATTAATGTATCGATACAAATAAATAAGGATTTTTTTAATGCCCGAGAGACAAAAATATAGATAAAATTTGTAACAAAAGATGCAGGGGATTTTATAGAAAATTTTAGGCCTTAGTAACTGTATAAATTATAAATTTTTTTTTTATTAATTAAACAATACCTGATCAGAAGTGAACATAACAAGCTGACCACCAACAGCAGCCAGTCCGCGTTCCTTGTACTGGGGGAACATTTTATGTCTAGCAGCCAAAAATGCGTACAAATTACTAATTGACCCTCCCGGAGCGAGAATAGAATCCCCGGTATTCCACCCGATTAGCTCGCGCATTTTCTGCAGGACCACATGCTCCATCAGAATGAACACCGGAGCGATCTCGTAGGTAAACATGTTGGTGTTTGCAGTCGCCGTGAGCCACTCGCCCGCCATCGACACCACGTCCAGGCCGCATGACAATTGGTTGAAGAAATGCGGGTGTCCTAATAGATAAATTAAAAAAAAATCACAATTTTTAAATGATTAAATAATTATTATATTATTAAATTAAATTTATTATTTATTGTCGATAAAAAAGACCGAAAGATTAATCAGCTAGTCGTTGGACGTGATTCGTGGGAAGATTAATTAACATGACAATTAATCATTCCCACGTGGGAATAATTTAGATCGTGACATCGTCTTTGCAAGTGACTTGTGACGTAGAGTAGAGAGTACATGTGTATATATGTGTGTATAAAGCATGACAGGGTAGGTACAACGGGGAGCTTTAAAAGTCTAGTTTTAGCACTTGCTGCTGCTGCTGATGATGATGGGAAACATAGAGGAAAAAGATGGAGCAGCTTTAAGCTTCCGCTCCGAGTATGTTGTCATCTGCTTGGCTGAACATTGCGCTAGATCAAACTTAATGCTTTTGTTTGATGGCTCCCACCCTCCTTTCAGCTCGTATCAACACTCGGAAGGCTTATGTCACTATATTTTTTATATATTTCACTTTTAATAATATATTTAAGTATCAAATCAAAATTATTTTTTTTTAGTATGAAAAATATATTCTATTTTTAGTTTTCTGCTAAAAAAAATTGAAAAAGAATGCTTTTTTATTTCTCGAGACAATTTTTTGAGAAAAAAACATCGGGGATTTGTTATTACATTATGAGTAAACAAAAAAATAGCTTTACTCAAATTAATTAAAAATTATTTCCATCTATCCAACATTGACCCCCATGAAAAAAAATTATAAAAAAAATATATGTTGAAATACATATAAAATATTTATTTATTTATTTATTTCTCGTTACAAAAGATTTCTATAGAGGTGCGCATGGCACCTGTGCATAGAACGAGTACATTTTGCATTATAAAATTTTCCTTATCAATAATAAATTAATACAGTATAAATACATATATAGATACATATATATACAGTATATATATATATATATATATATATAGATAGATAGATAGATAGATAGATAGATAGATAGATGTATATGAAAGAAAATTTTTTTCATAAAAGTATTTTTTCTTTCTCAGTGTATATAAGTATTACTTAACATATCAAACCTAACATTGAAATTTATTTATGGCGAGATTATTTAAAATTTTAAGAATTCATTGTATTGTTGTTGTTTCTTTCAATTTATCTGAAGGCGCCTAAAGTATTCTAGTAATTACTGTAAGTCTCAACTCAGACGGAACCTTTAATGACCATTACAACTCATACAGAATGACTTTCATTATTTGTATGCTAAATTATTACAAAAGAAAATAAATGAATTTTAATGATGGTATGACCATTATTTTTTGCAAATTTTGTATTCTGTAAGGAATGAAATTTTTTTTTTAGAATGTACAATTTTTATAAATTCATCCGGCTATAATCTAATTTTTTTTGTTTTTTAAGTAAATAATTTTAAATTATTTCAGAAAAATTAAAAAAAAGAATTATTTGCAAGCGCTTTGACTCGAAGATATAACTAGAAAAATTTTCGGAACTCTTTTCATAGAATTATAAAATATTAAATCTAATATTAAAATTTATTTATGGCTACAGTATTTAAAATTTTGAGAATTTATAGTATTGTTGTTGTTTTCTTTCAATTTACGTGAAGGCGTCTAAAGTATTCTAGTAATTACTCGTAAGTCTTAACCAGACGGAGCCTTTAATGATTATTATGTCTCATACAGAATGACTTTCATTATTTGTGTAGTAAATCATTACAAAAGAATAATAAATAAATTCTTACGATGGTGCCACCATTATTTTTGCTATTCTATATTAGTATTGGGTATTTCTCAGAATTAGAATTAATATTACTGGGTATTATACAAGTATTGCTTTTAGACTCACAATTATTTTTACTGCAAGAATAATACTTACGGAATCAAACTTTTTATTCTGTAAAGAATGAAACTTTTTTGAAACTCGCCTTACAAAAATCCCGTGATTTCTTGAACTAAAATTCTCTATTTATTTTAAACTATTCCAAGAAAATTTTCAAGAAAAAAATTCCTTGTAGACGCTTCTAACTAGAAAAAGTACAGGAACTTCTTTCATGGGATTTTAAAATATTTATTGCAAAGATTCATCTTTTTTCATGGTCAAATTGTAAACTTATTGTAACAATCTATAATCTATTCAAGGAACATTCTATTGTCATCGAAAGGTATCGGTTTTTAAGATCATGAATACATTTAGTAATCATCCTATCAATTGAACTGTATCTAATTGCTAAATCATACCTGAATAATACGTTCATATTCGATATGACTTTACCTGAGTTTCCAAGGTTAAATTTTCGAGTACGGACTTATGAGTTGTATGAAACAAAAGGTATATACTTACAATTTTTCAACTATAGCCAAATTTCGCTATAGTTAATGAGGTTTTTGGCATTACTTAAATACTTTTAAAAATCAGTCTTAGGACATATTTCGAGCTGTGCAGACGAATAACAGTTAAAGTTATTTCAAACGTCTACTTGTTCAACATTTTGAATATAATTCTGTCGTTCATATCGTATTTTTGATATTGATCGATAATTCTGCGGAAGATCCACATTCTTGAAGCTGAATATAATTTTCAATCTTCTCCAAATTATTTTGGTGTAAAGTGATTTGTTCAAGTGCAATCTTGTGAAATTATTTATTTGACCAAACACTATCAAAGTGTCTGGAAAATTGAGGATGATGGTTGCTTTGGACCTGATGAGGCTGCCTGAGGACAAAGTTATTAGAGTAGCCAAAATCACTAAATTATTGCAACCCAATGCAATAGTTGATGGTGAAATTGACTTTTGGGAGTTTTCATCTTTTACTTTCAAAAGAGTTCACGCTTATATTAGAATGTTGATTAAAAACTGCAATAGGAATATTCTCAGTGATCAAGACTTGAAGAAAAAAGTTCTGGGAAATGAAGTCTTGCTTGATGCTGTCAAACAATATCTACCGGACTGTTATATACTCAAAAATAACAGTTACAATGATTTCAGCGGTGCTAGCGACAGTGAAAGTGACAGCAGTAGCAGCGATAGTGATAGCAGTAGTAGCGATAGCGACAGTGATAGCAGTAGCGATGAGGAAGTAGTTGAAAGTACTTCTCATTGCAATACTGAAGAGAACTTTCAAAAATTGTTGGATAGCAGCTACTACTGCATTGTCGTTACTGATGACACCACTAAATCAGTTAAGGTGATTATCAAGCGAGATGTAAAAGTACATCTCGATTTGAGCGAATCCGAGACTGATGATGAACCTGAAGATGAACCGGAAGAATTAGTCCCTTTGGATCCAAGGTGCATCAAGGTGACAGTTGACTTGGTACGAGTAGATTCTCTTTTGGCATCGATGAAGAAAAAATCAACGGTGTCTATCCAAGCTAGCAGCTCACCTAGCAGCCAAGCTAGCAGTGGATATATTAGCCAAGCTAGCAGTGAATATAACAGCCAAGCTAGCAGTGGATCTATCAGCCAAGCTAGCAGTAAATCCAACAGCCAAGCTAGCAATAGATCCAGCGGCCAAGCTAGTAGTATATCCAGCGTCCAAGCTAGCAGTAGGCCCAACAGTCAAGCTAGCAGTAGATCCACCGTCCAAGCTAGCTGTAGATCCACCGTCCAAGCTAGCTGTAGATCTACCAGCCAAGTCAAGAGGAAGAAATCAATAGGAGTCCAAGAAAGGATTTTGAAACGCTTCCGTCAATTTCAACGTAGGAAATAATTATTTATTGTACTTCTTTTTTTTTTTTATTATAATTATCATCGATATTTTTGTACTGTATTTATAAGTTTTTAATATTTTTTTGTACTCATCAACCGAATTTATGTTTTTAAGTTAAGCTTTTGTAAATTTTTAATTTTTTTTTATTTTTCATGAATTATGTAATAGTTAATTGAATTATATTTAGTTTTTATATTTTTTAATAGTTTAATAATAATTTCTAAGAACAATTGTGACTAAAATAGATATAAGAAATTTTTTTTAATACTTCTGTACTGTACTTAACATTATTCAATATCTTTTGTTGTCATTAAATTTAATTTTTTAAGTAAAACTTATGTAAATTTTTAATTTTTTATATTTATGTAATAATCAATTAAATTATATTTAGTTTTTATATTTTTTAACAGTAATAATAATTTGTAAAAATAATTGTCATAAAAATAGATGTAAGAAATTGTTGTTTGTTACTAAATATTGTAAATATTAAATTTAAGTTTTTTATTGTTATAAAAATTTAAAATTTTTTTTCACAAAAAAAATATATTAAGATTGAATAAATAATTTTTTATTAATCCTAATTAATGTTTTTTTTTCTTTTATTATAAGTATTATTTTTAATTTTTTGTCATTTTCAGCAAAGTTTTATTACTTATTTCCCGAAAAATAAATTCAATTTTATTCTTTTGTAATTTTTAATGGTTTAACAAAATATATAAATAATTCAATTCAATTTTGCACAACTTAGAAATTAGTTAAATTTTTTGGATTGTCGGAGAAACATTTTTTTTAAAGTGTAAGTAAAATATAATAATAATAACACCGCCGAAGCGCGTAGTAGCCTATCGGATCCGGCCCTTGCTACCAAAGCATTGGACCGGGTTCGAATCCAGCGTACACCAATGAATATTTTCAATATTTAAGTGTATTATTCTGCTCAGCCCAAGAAATACAAACGAGTTCCAATCTCAAAAGTGTACCCCCTACCGTAGTCGCTCATGACCTTAGTAGTTTATGCGACTTTAAACAAATTAAAAAAAAAAAAAAATAATAATAATAAAAATTAAAATTAAAAAAAATAATAATAATTTAAAATATTATTATTTATTTATTTAAAACAAAATTATTTATTTATTTAAAATAAAATTATTTATTTATTTAAGACAAAATTATTTATTTAAAATAACATTAAAATTATTTAAATTATTCAATTAATTAATTTAATTTATTTAAATTAAATTTAATTAATCTAATTATTTAAACATTAAAATTATTTAAATTTAAAACAAAATTATTTTGTTTTAAATAAATAAATAAACAAATTAAATATTTTAAGTAAGAAATAACCAGACTATTTCAAAGCGTATTAATAAAAATAGCAACACAGACGGAGATGGAGTTAAAGAAGAGAGGAAATGTTCGATGTTGAATGTTCGTATAAGTACAAAGCGTTTTAATCTCTCGGAATTACTGGACTGATTGACGTGTGACGCTAGTAGGAGTCTTTAGCCTCATATGGGGTTCCCGTGTTACGCAGTAGTTTCCCCTTGGTAGATATTGCTCCGAATGTGATGTGGGATTTGCCCGAGTGGAGATCCAACTGCTCACTCACTGAACCAAGTGATTTCAGATGATCTTTAGATTACCCAGATCAATATAATCGGGTTTGTCTATTTATTGCTACATTAGTAATGTTAATTCTCTCTTTACATCTCGAGTGGGGACAAATTTCTCTATTTATCTGACCCTAAATGATTTTTCAAATTTTTACTGCTTGGTAAAAATCACTTTATCTTTATTTAACGCTCCAATAATTCTAAATTATCAAAATTTCCTCCTAAATTTAGGTAATTATATACTTTAAGTAATATTCTAGTGGATATTTTGTTAAGAATTTAATTAAATTATATATTTAAGCTCTCGATACTTTTTTTGTCAGTGAAAAAAGTTCGAGTTTTTATTTAAAAAAAATTTAATTAAGTTTTAAATTTATTGGCGTCCCTGCAGATGTTTTCATTGCATTTGTACTTTATTGCTCGGTGTTGTTCCAAGGTTTTATTGAACAACCCAATCTTTAAAGTACAATAAAACGGTCACTGCAGCTGTCCTAGGTATTTAATTGTCCTATTTTACGACTTAGTGTAAGTTATTTTAAAGAACAATTCAATTTTGCCCATAAAACAGCCAATTATTCATTTTTATTTGCAAAGTCAAACTTTTTTTTTCACTTTAAAACTTTTCCGGCTTTCAATTTAATTAAAAAAAAAATATTAAAAAATTTCTAATCAATTTTTCTTGAAAAAAATTAAATTTTTCATTTAAAAATTTTTCCAGACTTAAATTAAATTAAGAAAAAAATTTTTGCTTGTTAAAAAATAAATTTTTTATTAGATTATCAATAAAAAAAAATATAAAATTTATTTAAAAAATAAATAAACAACAATTGATGTGTAAGTGTTGGATTTGAGAGCCTCTGCAAACAATCTAGTCGCGCAGCGACGCGTATGACGCGCAAAATGCGGGCTCTTCGGATCATCGACCCTCAACCAACTAACCACCCTCTCTTTGCATCCACCCCCGTAAGTAAAATATATATACGAATGTTTCTGTGGAGTGTATCGAATGGCAAGACAGAAGGCGAAGTAAAAAATTGCAGACGGTATGATCTGAGATAGATACAAGAGACAAACCCTCGGATAAATTCTCAGACTGGGTCTAGCGACGCCGGACGTGTGCTTCGAGTCACAAACCACTGTAATTGCGGATATAACTGTGCACGACAAACGACTCAACGTGGAAATAGTACTCGTGCTTAAAGAAAGATTTTAGATACCTAATACGTTCTTTTGACCAGGCTATTTCCGACATTTATTGATATATTTGTTGTTGATTAAATTCTCAGCTTTCTCGGCTGGAAATAAATCTTTGGGATTGTTTTTTAGAGCTGTTAAGTTTTTTTTATTTCTATTTTATAGCAAATGGATATTTTTTTTGGTTTATAGAGTGATTAAGGCCTATTTAATATAATTAATAAATAAAATTTTGCTTTATTAAATAATGACACTTGTTAAATTGCACTGTACTTTTTTAAATATTGACGTTTTTAAAGATATAAGCTCATCCTGATGTTACACTCATCGAGAGCTTTCATTTGAGTACCCACATGCATTTTTGATATATTTTTCATATATACATATATATAATATATAATATCTATAAATATATGAAAAATTGAAGTGGGTACTCAAATGAAAGGTCTTGATGAGTGTAATGTCGGGATGAGCTTATATCTTTAAAAATGTCAATATTTCACTAGATACAAGGTCATTTCTTAATTGTTAGAAACGAAATTTTTCTTATTCTCTTAATAATTTATTATGATAAAATTTAAATAAATTTTTTCTTATATTAGTGAGAAGTTTTGTCGGAAAAAAGGTATTGGTAAATTAAAGCGATTATTTATAAGGGCTAATTTGAGGGAAGTTAGTGTGTCGAGGCGGAATTAAAAGCATAAATGGAGATGGAAATAAAATAAAACATAAGGCATAAGAAATAACGGCGTAAACTCCAGTAGTAAACAGAGCCAGTAGAGGACTTGGGAGACCTGTCGCAAGCAGACCCCGCACCCGGTGATAAATTAGGGGACTCTGGATTTAGTATCAAGAGAAGTGTGTAACTCGGGCTTAATGTTAATACTTGGTTATCAATCATATCAACTAAAGAGGAATTTATTTCACACAAATTTCAAAAGCCAATTGGCTTATGATTCTTATTATTTATTAATTATTTTGTTTAAGTGCTTGGAAAATTTTTGGGAATTTAATAGGTCATTAGACTTGATAAATTGTCGGCAATTTTTCTAGGATTAATTTTTTAGTCAATGAAAATTAAAAAAAAATTTTTTAATAAAAAAAAAATAATAAATTTTGGTATGAAAAAATTCTTAAAGGACAAAGAAAAGACTGATGAATATTTCGGCAGGGGTAAAAATAATAAAAAGAGAAACCCAGCAAAAGTTCTTAAATACGCAAAATTCTTGGGGTGGCTTGCTGCTGAAAAAATTACTCGTCTCTGGAATTCGAGGGTCCCTGAGGAATAATCGCAGCCGTGACACGTCAAAATTTCGGAGGATTCCAGAAACAAGTGCACGCGAAACTTCTATCCTGGCAATTTAAATTCCGAGAAATGCCATTCGTCTCGGACGATCCGCGTCGCTATGCAGCCATTCAAAGGCTTGGAAACAGAATTCGATGGAAGAGAATAGAATTGAATAGAAAAAGACGAGGTTGGAGTACATGTACCGACTTTAACTACCCTATATTCTGCAGCCCCTATTTACTGTTCCACCTATCTCACCCTCTACTCTAGCTGTGAGCTGCTTTTCGGATCTCTCGGTTACTGGGGTTACAAAATCGTGTAGAAATGGCTCTTAATTACACCGATCCTATTCAATTGGCTGTCCCCCATCATTTTAGTTTCACGAGTGTCCTAAAGCGGTTTTTCATTCTTTTTTTTTTTTTTAATTTGTCCGAATGATTTTTACTTTCCTTTCTTTTCAAATTTTTTCATTAGTTTTTCTTTTTTTATTAAATTTCTTCCTTTTTTATTTCAAAAATTTTATTTTATATTAAAATTTCTTCCAAATTTAAAAACAAAAATTAATTTAAAGCACTTTTCAATTTTTAATCATTCAACTTTTTTTTTTTTCAAAATTTTTACTTAAAAATTATCAAAAAATTTTTTTTATAACATTTAAATACTTTTAATAATTTTAGTTAATTTTTTACTTAAAAAATTAAATTTTTGTGTATTAAAATTCAATGAAACTTTCAAATTTAAAAACAAAAATTAGTATAAATATTTTATTCACTTTTTTGTCCAAAATTTGACTTAAATATCTTTAAAAAAAATTTTTTATTTAACTTTTTAAATTAAAAAATGATATTTGTCGAAAAAAACTAAAATTTGACGCTCAAATTTTCATTAAAACATTTTTAAAATCCAAATTAATATTTTAAAAGTCAAAATTTTATTATAATCACCAAAAAACACTTCCAACAACTAAAAACCAAACACTATCTCCCCCAAAAGCAGAGTTCAAAGATAAACTGTCAATCATATTTTTATCACTCCCCTGAAGCGTCATTGTCCCGCCGCAATCTCCGGTCATCGGTGGGTTCGTGGGCGCATAACAGATATCAAAACCTCCTGAAATAATTTCATCCTCGACTCCCCACGAAATGGTTCTTCCCTCGCTCGGGATTCTATCTCGAGATCGATACCCGTGAATAGAAGTACAACCGAAGGGGGTTGCGTTCAAATTCTCGGGGTACATAATCTAATAACGAGTTTTTGTTGTGAACCCGCGAGGGTCTCTTTCAATTCGCAAACATGCACACGTAAATAAACATTCATCTACACATACAGATGCATCGCTGTCATCTCACTGTACTTGCATGATACAGTACCAAATACCGAATCTTATTCTCACTCGCTATTGTACATTAGCATCCATTCAAGCTGGTAATCGAATCTACGTAGACTCGATACATCCTGCCGCGAAAGGGGACTTGCGGTTGACTTACGGCTTTCTTTATCCGCCATAATAATTGCAATTATTAGTCTTGGTCTGATAAATTTAATAAAACTTAATAAATATATGTTAAAAAAAAATTAAATTGACTCGAGAACAAATTTTTTTTCAACAAAACAATTTTGAGCTAAGAAATTTTTATTGACTTAGATAATTATAAATTATAGATAAAAAAATTTATCAGTATCAGTATAATAAAGTGTCGTCGTAGAACGTGTACAAGAATCTAGATCCTTTATTATTTTTTGACTCCTCTAATCCTCTGCGGACTATTTATCACAGCCATAACATATAACGTGTGTGTACACAGCTTGGGATTCTATTTTGTACGGGGTAAGAGGAGGCAAAGCAAAGCTGGAGGGAGAAGGGTGGAAACTAGTCCAGCTATCTCCAGCGGCGTACCTTATCTCCGGCGAATTCAGTGCGGGCGTATGCTAAATTGAATATGAAATTATGCGGCTTATCGTTTGCTTACCCTTCCAACATCTCAGTTTATTTTTACTGGAATTATTTTTGCTCCAGCAGCAATTATTCCTTCCATATATTAGCAATTATTATTATTATTACTTTAACCCAATTTATTATTTATTATATTATTGTTATTGTGAATAAACTCACCGGTTTTGACCTGGTACTTGAGAGTAGTCGAGCAATCGATAAGAAGCTGCTGGAGCGTCAGCCCATTGTCCGGTATCTCGAGGTCCAGAATTCGCATCAGGTCAGCTGGATGATGGAATTCCAGGACCTTCGAATTGCGATCATTTTGCGTCTTCACGTAGTCCAGCAGAATGTCGACGACCTTCGATAGGAATTCCTTCGTGGCTGGATATCCCTCAGCATTGATAGGAATTATGTCTGGAATATTATAATTATTTTTTTTTTAAGGGAAGTTTTACTTCAATTAGAATTTTAAATTATTATAATTACATCAAATATCAATTTAGAATTTTTTTTAAATAAAAAATAGGATAAAATATTTATTAAAATTGATTTTTATTAAAATTTGAGGTCAGAAAAAATTTTTATTCAATTTTTATGATCTATTTTATTAAAAATTCACTTAGAAATTTTTTTTTAATGAAAAATTCACCTGAAAAATTTTTAAAACTGATTTTTTATCGAAAGTTTGATCTTGAAAGTTTATTTTACAGATTTTTACTCAAAATTTTGATAAATATTTATTTGGAAATTGTTTTATAATCAAAAATTTCATCTTTAAAATTTAGTTTTACTCAAAATTTTATTAAATATCAATTTAGAATTTTTTTTTTTTCATCAAAAATTGGACAAAATATTAGTTAAAATTGATTTTTAATCAATTTTTAACACAAAAAAAATTTTTTTTCTCTAATTTAATGTAAAATTTAATCAAATATTCATTAAAAAAAATTTTTTTTAGCAAAAATTAATTAAGAATTTAATTTATAATTAAATATAAAATTTTTTGCAATTAATAAATAGATAATTAAATAATAACAATAATAATAATTCATGTTACCATAAATTTTCAATAATTAATCTTCGTTATCTTGGAGTAGAAGCTTAATATTATAATTAATAATTAAATACTTAATTCCAGTAGATAAATAATTAGAATGATTTCACCTCATCAAACAATTGAAAGTATAGACCTAAATTGACACACTCTCACTTGTTTGGTGGGGCGACACCATCAGTTGCCATGAACAGATGAAGATGTTGTCTATCAATGTCGATTAGATAGCTGGATCCGGGAAAATAAGATGATTGAGTGCCCAGATAAGGCCGAGATGAAGACAAAATAGCGGAGGACCTGCACGGCGGTCTTGATCCAGATTCGGTAAATCCTTCGTAGATTAAGTTGTCCCTTTTTCACAGCCCAACTATAAAGTACCCAAGAAGTATACCGAGCTCACTGGCAGCCCCTCCGACATCAACTTTCCTTTCCATTACCGCGATCCCACGGATAAGCAACCACGCAGCGACCGCGTTGTCTAGGGATTCTCATACTTTTTTTCGCTATTCAATCCTACGGGGAATCCAAACGGTGAATTATCTTTACCATCCATAAACTTCTTATAGTCAAATAAACTCTTAACTTTTTTTTCTTCTTTCAAATTAATTACTTTTTTTTTATCCTAAGTAATTTTTTTAAATCAATAACTAGGAATTCAAAATTTTTCAAATATTCTTTTCTTAAAAATTAATCAATTGAATTTTTTTTTAAGATTGAAATCAAAAAAAATTATTAAACTAAATAAAATGAATTTTTATAAAATTATTAATCTATTAATAAGTATTTAGGCTGCATTAGAATATGTATCTCTATACATAATTAAGAAATGACCTTTTATCTCGTGAAATATTGACATTTTTAAAGATATAAGCTCATTCTGATGTTACACTCATCAAGACCTTTCATTTGAGTACCCACATCAATTTTTCATATATTTTTCATATGTATATATATATATACATATGAAAATATAATGAAAAATTGAATGTGGTACTTCGAATGAAAGGTCTTGATGAGTGTAACATCAGGATGAGCTTATATCTTTAAAAATAGATATTATATATATGTATATATG